TTTCTTGTGGAATTGTAATCCAAACTTGACCAAATGTTCATATGAGTTCATTATGTTGATGTGGGTCAAAAATCATGAAGTTTGACTGTCAATTGGCCACAGTTGACTTTTTCCCCAATACAGCTGATTTCTAGGTCAACTGTCCAATTGACTGGGCAAAGATTGGAATCAAGGCTTGAAACTTGGTATGGATAAACTTGTGAGTCCAACATGAAGCATGAAAGTCACTTTGGGCATTTTAGGTCAAAACATCCCTGTACAAACTCAAACCCTAATTTGGGTCAACAGTGCAAGGAGGGGTCTTAAGCAGAGCAAACCCTAACTTGATCTTGAATTCCAAGAGTCTTGTGATGAAAAAAATGTTGATGAAATGAGAGGGAAAATTTTGGGGTACAACACATGCGAACAGGTCAGCATTCTCCCTTAAGCAGGCTTTGAGTTGCTTCTTCGCTAAGTTGGGGAGTCCAACATCAATCTTCACGCCTTTGTCTGGGTCTTCGCCGACGGGGATGAACTCGAAATCTCTGTCTGGGACAGGTCAGAGGGGATCATGTTCGCCATTAAGGGCTTTGACTTCATCTTTGTCGAAGCGGGTGTTGAGCGAAATGGAGTCGACCTTTGGTGGAGCCTGTTATTCTTCGACTTGAGCAGGTTTGACCGTAGAGATAGCCGTTGTTGTCGAGGTGGTTACCCTTTTAGTAGGTCATGCCCCAGTGTCGACCATGTTTTTCCCTTTGGAAGCCGTGTTGAAACATCTTCTGGCAGTTGAGATGTCTCCATGGATGGTGGCGACGCGGGCCCTCTTGGTGTAGAACTTCATCTTTAAATGCATCGTGGAGGGTACGACGGTCAGCTCGACAAGTGTTGGTCTCTCCATGATGCAGTTGTAGAGAGACGGGCAATCGATCACCAGAAATCGAACTTTGATCTGCTGGCATGCAGTTTCTTCCCTGAATGTGACAAAGAGGTTGACATAGTCCCATGGCTTATAGGTCGAACCGTTGAATCCTTGCAGGTCAGACCCCACATATGGTGATAGGAGGGTATCATCGAGCTGCAGGGTGCAAAACAGGTGGGTGTACATGACGTCGACGAAACTCTCCCCGTCGACCAGAATGCAATGTATATCGAAGTTGGCCATCCTTTCCCTCACCGGTAGAGGAATGCTTGAGTTTAGGGCTCCATCAGGTAGCTCCTCGAGGTAGAAGGTGATCGACTCATATTTTCTCTTGAACCTTTCAAGGGTTACTTCCTGGGTCGGGGCTACATCTACCAGCTCGTTGAGTTTCCTCTTCACCAAATTTACCGAGATGTCATTGAATCCCCCTCCAGATATGACCATGGTAGAGGGGAACTTCTCCCATCTGACGTGGGTGGATAAGGGTTCTTCATCTTCGAAGTTGTCGGGGATGTGGAAGTCCTCGGGCCTTGAGACGGAGAAATCCACCTAGAGGGGACCCGATTCATCGGATGGTCGGGTATCCACCTCGATTTCTTTAACCTCGCAGTTATCCCAGCGAGGGGAGTCGTTTTGCTTATATTACCCGAGTCTCCCTGCCTTGATGAGAGTCTCGATGGCATCCTTCAGGTGGATGCAATCTTTGGTCAGGTGATCGTGGCTCTGATGATACTGACAATATGTTTTTCTGTTGGCCCTGGGCTTTATAGGGGAGGGTCGAGGAATTCTGACGCTGTAGTCCTTAAACTCGATATTAGAGCACTCCGCAAGGATGCACTCACGGGAAGCGGTCAGCAGAGTGTACTCTGTGAACCGTCTGAATAGTTCTCTGTGTTTGCGGGTATTACTAGGTTTATTTTCCCTTCTCTTCTCCCTAGTCCATTGAGAAGGGCCCGCGTCGAGGTGCCATAGGATGTGAGTTGGTTCGTAGTTCCTCGAATCACATGCTCTATTGGCTACCTTTTTCTCCTCGTAGTCCATGTATGCACGGGCTTTTTCGAGGAGGGCGTCAAAAGACCTGGGTGTTCAATGGAGACGACCTTTCTAAAATCAGTTCCCAGAAGAAGTCCCCTCCCAAGAAGGTATCTTTTCATGTGGTCGGCGCATGGGACCTAAATGGCCTTGCGGTTGAACCGATCAATGTATTCCCTAAGGGTCTCGTCGCTTCTTTGGACGATTTCCTCGAGGGCAGCTTCGGTCTTCGGATATCCCCGAGATGCAATGAAGCTGCTAATGAACTAGTTTTAAAGGCTCCTCCATGAGGTGATCGACCCAGGGGAGAGGTTCTTGTACCAATCCATGATTGTTTTCCTCAGTGTCGTAGGGAATAATATGCATTTAATTAGGCCCCCGACATTGTGGTAGTAGAGCATCACTTCAAACATGTCGATGTGGTCGACATGATTATCAACGTCATCATACTCCTTCAGTAGGGGAGGCTTCTCCAGTCCTTTAGGAATGAGAGCCTCCATGATGTCTTGGGATAGTGGACCGCGAGGATCGTCTTCGTCACTTTTGTCTAGAGAGCGAGAGGGGGATCGGTTGTAGTGGTGGTCGTTATGTTAGCCTTGGCCACGGGGAGAGTCCCTTGGCCGAGACTTCTTTTCTTAGTTTCCTCTTTTTCTTTTATGTTCAGGGGATCGCCGCTCCTTGTGCGGGGGGTGTGACCGCGCTTCCTTACAGCTTCGGGATGGCTCATTTCTAATGCAGGGCCTCACCCAGTTCGGGGGCGAGGGGAGAAGGGCTTCGAGAGCCGTCCCGTCTGTGTCTCTGCAGGGGAGATCAGGGGAGGTCCTCGTTCCATCGGGGAGGCAGAGTTCAAGAGCCGGGTCTCCTGTGTCTTTTGGGGTCTCAGCGAGTCTGCTCAAGCATCATCAGTCACTCACCCTGTGAGAAAATTATGTAGTTGGTCTGGTTGATTGTCGCGAACATAGCTCTGGTTGTGGCGTCAACACCTGCAGGAATGGGGATCTCCTGATATGTATTGGGCTCATAATTTTGTGGAGGATGGTAGTCGTTATTTCGCAGTTGCGAGCGAGTGGATGAAGAAGAGGCAAGTACGTCCTTGTAGTCTTGCTCGGGACCGACCATGTTGTTATTGTTGTCCATGTTATTGTCGCCAATGTTGTTGTTGTTGAGGTCGACGAAATGGACGTTTTGGTTATTATTGACAACTTAGTCGACCATGACAATTAGAAGGTTGATAAAGATTTGATTTGGTCTTAAAAGGAAGACGGGGAAGTTAGAATCCCACAAACGACGCCACTGATCATACTTGGTCAGAAGGGATTGTCGAGGCCCACGAGTTGTAAGTCGAGCATTGGTTGAATGTGAAGTTGAGGGGGTACCTGTAAGACACTTTGATGCCAAAGTAAGGTTCAGAGTAAGTGCAAGTAAGTGAGAGTATGGGTGAATGAATGAATAACTGACCCCCTCAAGTGAGAGGGTATTTATAGCCCTCGACATTGGGCCAAGGTCTTTAGTGATGGGCCACGATGAGGCCTAACAACAGAGACTACCAGGGTTTACGGGTGTATAAAGTCCAGCATGTGGCCTCCTCCCTGATCAACTTTCCCGAGAAAGTAGGGAAGTTAGACCCGTTATTCTCAGAGGACAGGATGATGACTATATGGACACATGGGTTATGTTCTCCTAGTGGACACGTGGGGAAATGCCCAACGGTCCTCAGTTTGGGCTGCACGCTTTTGGGCCTTTGTAAAGGTGCTGGATTGGGCCTCCCTAACAGTGAAGCGAGTGCCGGCCCAATCCAGAACGGTGATGATAATTAAGTGTGTATTCGTATAATCATTTTGAACTATAATGGATGATTGTTGATCTTGAAATCTTGCATGATATATCTGTCGTATACTTATGATTATATAACTTATTATATTATTTAGATATCTCACCCCCTTCTGTTTGAATGTTACCTCTACGTGGGTAACGTGTAGGTGATCCATAGTAGACGAGGTTATTCATTATTTATTTTCGAATTGGCGTCGTGCTCTGATATGAAACATCGAGGGGATGAATGCTTGCTTATTTTAATTAGTTGTTGTTTTACTTTTGAAGAATTGTGGGAATATCATAAACTCTCTTTTATTTGATTTAAAATATTTGTTCATGATGAGTTAAGGATGTTGAAAATAATTATGATTTCCTTTTTGTTGCATTAATAAAGTTGAAGTTTGAGGACCATGATGAAGATATTGTCGGTTCATCCGAAAGTGTGTTATGTATCTTTTCATTTATACTTGAGCAAGTTTTTAATATGTTGAAAGATGTGGCATCCTATTCTTGGTGTTTGATTTAAAAATTTATTTACTCTGATTTTTATTTAATTTATCGATAGGGAAATAGGGTGTTACAACAATCATACTGAAAAAGGAACAAAAGCCAACACTTAAATTCACAGAGGATCCAACTCCCACTCAAACTATACTAGCATCCAACGCGAGATGGACTTGATTCAACACCTTAATGAAAACAACACCAATAACAAGCATAAGAATTACATACATGGTAAGAACTGGAATGTTAAAAAGAACAAGCATACCAGAAAAGAAGAGCAACCTTTGCAAATAAAAGAGACGGGGAAGAACAATAGAAGCAAAGATAACAACAACCAGGAGAAGGAGCAACATAACTTGGACATTAGAAACAAAGAAAAATATCAGAAAATAAAAAAGCCATAACTAACTACAACAAAAACAAAACTATACAAAAATGCATACCCCTCAAACTTGACAGCAACAAAGAGAAGAAGTCTCAACATCTGGAGTTTTCAATCACCAACACCCAAGACGGGGACACAAAGCACAACCATGGAGAATTAGGAAAGGAAAAAGAACATGCAAATCAAAATCACCATCGAAAAACCCTAATAGAAAAACATAAGAATGAAAAGACAAAAATCAGGGAAGAAGATGATAAAGGTGACAAACATGCGAAGATTGAAGAAGAAATCGACAGCAAACAACATTAACATCTGAAGCTTTCAACCACTAACATCCAACACGGAGACGCCAAGCACAACCGTACCATGAAGGGAAAGACTAAAGGTCAAGCAAAGAAAAATCAACATGAGCAAACCCTTAACGATGATCAAATTACTGACAAGACGAAAATCAATGAAGAAGAAGAGAAAAGAGACAAACCTGAGAAGATCGACGAAGAGAATGATAGGCACAAAAGAAGAAGTCAAAATCTAAAACACCACAAAGAGATGATTTATCGCACCGATGCTAGCCTTATCAAAGATGACAAATGGGGACTTAATGTTATATACATGGAGAACGGCGACACCATAATTAACACCGGAATAGAGAGAATGAATGGCCTAAACCACCCACTGGAAGCAAAAGTCATGGCGCTCTGCATGGCAATGAAGTGTGCAATTTTAGAGGATTTTAGTAAAGTGGACTTCGAATCGGACAATGAAACCATCATCAACATCATACTGAAGGAGAACGGCGGCGGAAGCCCTGTATCTAGGGTTAGAGAAACGATGATGAAGATGAAGAGATACAAAGAAAATTTTGTAGAGATTAGTTTTAATCATATTAAAATTTCCCGTCCACGTCTCGAGTTTTGTTACGGGGGATTTTGCCCCCATCCCCATCTGTGTCTCGGGTCCTGCTACGGGAAATTTTGTCTCCCATCCCTGTCTCTACGGATTTCCGTGGGTCTCTACGGATCTCCAAGGTTCATACGAAAATCCATAAACATGATTTTCTTTATTTATTATTTTACACCAAATTAATAGTAAAAATTTCAAAAACTAACCACAAAATTTAAAAATTTATTTCTATATGATAAATATATTGTTTTAACAATATTTAATCTATAATATTGAGTATCATAACCACCAAAATTTCGAATTTAAAAAGTTTGAAATAATCATTTGTATCTCAATCTTTTACTAACAATACATTTATATTTTAAATTTATTTATAAGATAAATTATATGAAATGACAAATAAACCTATATAAAAATTTAAAATTATATATAAATTATGTTTATTATGGTATTTTAGGCGGGACAAAGACTCTATGGGACAGGGGATATTTACGTCACCCCGTTCCGCTAATGAAACAAGTTGACATCCTCTAATTTGAATCAAAATGTACCAAACTAGATAATTCAAAAATAAATTTTCATTCAAGAAATCATTTTGTATTGAAGGGAAAGGGTCAAAGTGAACATTTAATTTTGTGAGATATTTGTCCAAATTATGACAAAGAAAGAAAGAAAAATAAAATAGTGGGCAGTAAAATTAGTTGGAGAAGATGAGATGATAAACAAAAAATGAAGAAGAGGTCTGTGTTTTTTTCAGTCTCACTAGTCACTCTCAACCTCAAGGGTCCATTTCAGATTCAAACACATTTATACCATTTTTCTACCTTTGCTTCATAAACACCCCAATACAAACCAAAATCAAAACCCCCCAAAAAATAAGGTTCTTCTTCTGCTTAGTGGTTGCTCACCCATATTCCCAATTTGTGGGAATTGGGTAAAGTTTCTTCCTTTTTCATAATTCAATTTCTGGGTTGTGTTTTTTTAGCTTGGATTTTGTTGCTAATGACTCAAACATGTGCATTTGTGCAGTAATTGTCAACAAGCAATGAATCCTCCAATTTGTGCCCCTTCATCTTCTTCTTGCTCATATATTCGTCCTCATTCATGCCTCACTTGTGCTTCTCGAAATTTCAAGTTTCCTATGTAAGTGTTCCTTTTGCCAATGATTGTTTTTTGTTTTGAACATTTTTAGTAACCAAGTGTTTTACTAAGGTTATTTCTTGTTTATAGTTTAGTTGGTAGGATCTGAAGAAGAGGTCATTTAACCAGAAGCACCATAGTTTTAAATCTGAACTATTGGCCCTAACTATTATAAGATGGCATTTTACTGATTTGAGTATGTAATTGGGGTTTAAAGTTGCAGTGCATGGTTTATGTTAAGTGGTTGAATCCAAATTTATATAGTATACTTGTATTTCATCACTCTTTGTTAAGAATCTCACATCGAAATATACGGGATGAATATGTACTTATAAGTGAGGGCAATCCTCACTCTACAAGCCGGTTTGTAGGGATGAGTTAGACTAACTCCGTCTCTTAATATGATATCAGAGTTTAGTTTAAGATCTGTTGGACCATTTTCACTCTCCAGATGTCCAATCTTGTGCTTGAGGGGGGGTGTTTTAAAAGTTTCACATCGAACAATATATGGATTGAACATGTCCTCACCCTACAAACCGGTTTTATAAGGATGAGTTAGGCTCAACCACAACTCTTAACACTCTTTTTTGTTTTATTTTTGTTGCAAATTTCATGTACTCTTTGTTCCCTCTCAATTTTACTTAAATGTTTTTTGACCATAATATTTTAAGTGGTCACTGGTCACGATTTAGGGTTCATGATTATAATTTCTTTCCAATTGTGCATCCAAGACTAACTTGTCCAGGCTTCTCAATTTTGCATGTGATGTATGCTAAGATAAAACTTCCATTTGCCTGTTCATATTAGTTTACATCTACAATTTCACATCACCGTAACGCACCGAGAGTTCTTATAACTTCTTCCTCATGTGAAATTGTGTTTTTCTTGCTTTTTGATTATTTCCTTACTAATTTTTACTAAAGTTTTCTAATGCTCTAATATTCTTTATTTTTATAGGCTATTGCCACAGGCAATATGTACTACTCAAAAGGCGTATCGCTGCTCTGGAGGCCATGTGGAGGCTTCTATTAATGCTAATCCGTTGAGAACTTGCATAGTCGGCAAATTTACTCCAGGATGGTCTGAAGTACAACCCTTGGTTTCCAAACGATCGCTCAACAGGCACCTGTTACCTGTGGAAGCTTTAGTAACTTCAACAGCTCAAGATGTTTCTGGTACACCTCTGATTGGTGATGATAAGATCGGAGTTTTATTGTTAAACCTTGGAGGTCCAGAGACTCTAGACGATGTGCAGCCTTTTTTGTTTAACCTTTTTGCCGATCCAGTAATACTCTAACTTTAGCCTAATATTCATATGATATGATATGATATGATATGATATGATATGATATGATATATATATGATATATGATATGTGATATGATATGAGCAAATTGTTTTTTTATCACTATTGTTCACATTTTCTGTACAATTATGCAGGATATTATACGATTGCCGAGGTTATTTACTTTTCTTCAGAAGCCATTGGCTCAATTCGTATCTGTTTTAAGAGCACCAAAGAGCAAAGAAGGCTACGCTTCCATTGGTGGTGGATCCCCTCTTAGACGCATGACTGATGCACAGGCACGACACTTCCTGATAACCTTTTCCTATACTCTACAACACATTTCAAATTTGAGTTGTTAGATAGCACGTTGGAAACTTTTTCAATTTATCCGATATTGAATCGGTTATGTGTGAAAGAATGGTTTTGAGCTCTCTTATTGGTCTAATGATTTTCTACACAGGCTGAAGAGTTAAGAAAATCTCTATCAGAAAAGAATGTCCCAGCCAATGTGTATGTTGGCATGCGTTACTGGCATCCATTCACCGAAGAGGCTATTGAGCTGGTATTTATCATCTTTATCTGAGATTTAAATTGGATAGCAATAGATAAGATTGTGCCGCTGTCAGTGATGCATATTTAGAAGTTAGGTTCTATGTCATCAACATACGTGATCTAACAGATTTTCCTTTGAAATATATCATGTAGATTAAACGAGATGGAATTACAAAGCTTGTTGTGCTTCCACTTTATCCACAATTTTCAATTTCAACCAGTGGTTCAAGTCTGCGTCTCTTGGAGAGTATATTCAGGTGATTGATTACTATGAAACTCTACTATTCACATCATAATACTCCAATTTTCATCTAACACTGTTATTTTATGAATTATTTATCGGTTCCATAGAGACGATGAGTATCTAGTCAACATGCAGCACACGGTAATACCTTCGTGGTACCAACGTGAAGGATACATAAAAGCCATGGGAAATTTAATTGAAAAAGAGCTGAAGAGTTTCGATAGCCCAGAGAAGGTACCACTTCTTTTATATTTATATGACCGAAGCGTGGTTCCTAAACATTTTCATCTTATCATGTTATGCTTCTACTTGAAATGTTGTTAGCTCAATCAATATTTTGGGTTAGGATAATAGAATGATGACGGGAGATTACTCTGTTCGATCAACTTTAATGTATTTGGGAGATTGTCAAATGACATTATTATTTAAAAATAAATAAATTAAAACAACCAACATTTTTGTTTATTCTTTATAGGTTTAAATGTGTTTTTGATAACTCTGCCAAAACCGCACATTAGCCATAGTTGAGGATCCAAAAGTTCAATACGCTTGATTTGAGCTTAAGGTTGGGCGTCACTTCTTTGTAAATATTTGTTTTAGTCCTAGTGACTAGTTTTTGTTGCAGGTCATGATATTCTTTAGTGCACACGGGGTGCCGGTTGCTTATGTGGAAGAGGCTGGTGATCCATACAAGGCGGAGATGGAGGAATGCGTGGATTTGATCATGGAAGAGCTTGAGAAAAGAAAGATATCTAATGCATATACACTTGCTTATCAGGTACTTTTTTGTTACAAACTTGTGACCCTCAGTTTCTTGTTTCAAAGTATTAATAGATGATATTGGTTCATGAAGTGCGGAAATCCAAGCTTACCGTATAATGTTCACTCAGAGGGAAACTCTATCATTTATCATTCTTTCCAAACATGAACAGTTTATTGCCAAAATATGGCCACTGCTTCCAAATACATCCTTTTCCAAATTTCTCAGTTTATTATAATTCTTGTACAGAGTAGAGTCGGACCTGTGGAATGGTTAAAACCCTATACCGATGAGACAATAATTGAACTTGGGAAAAAGGGAGTAAAAAGTTTGCTGGCTGTACCAATTAGGTAACATCAACCTCCCTCGCTTATAGTTGTCGAACTCTCTCTCTGACCTGCACTAGAGTAAGTGACGCTAGTATTTAGTTTAATTTCTTTATTCACAGCTTTGTCAGTGAACATATTGAAACACTAGAAGAAATTGATGTTGAGTACAAAGAACTGGCATTAGAATCTGGAATAGAAAAATGGGGCCGTGTGCCTGCTCTCGGATGTGAACCCACTTTCATTTCAGACTTGGCAGATGCTGTAATTGAGAGTCTCCCGTATGTTGGTGCAATGGCTGTTTCAAACCTTGAAGCTCGACAGGTACTCTTCTCAACTCTCATATTTATATCTTGTGCTTTCATTGTATGATCTGAACAAAAAGTTTTGGTTTGTTGGCAGTCTTTGGTCCCCTTGGGCAGTGTAGAAGAGTTGCTGGCAGCATATGACTCGCAACGTAGAGAGTTGCCTTCGCCGATATTGGTGTGGGAATGGGGATGGACAAAAAGTGCTGAAACTTGGAACGGAAGAGCAGCTATGATTGCAGTGCTACTTCTGTTGTTTTTAGAAGTCACCACTGGTGAGGGATTTTTGCACCAGTGGGGAATACTGCCCTTGTTTAGCCCCCCACTCAATGGCAATGGAATTTAGTTTTTGCATGTATATGTATACCATTAGCATCGCATATGCCGCTTATAATCGAAGCCATGCGCTCGGAAGGAATTCTAAAATCTAGTTTTGAAGCAACATTTGTGGATGGAAAGAGAGAAAAATAATGTATAGCAATTACCACTTACACTTAAATGTATTTAAAGCATTTATATTTGGGTTTCATGAGTCGTGATAGCTGTTGTAGCTTTTGATAGCTGTTGTAGCTTTAAAAGCAGTTATTGAAAAGAGACTGTCAATTATACTATGTTGACATGAGAGGCAAGAGTTTGGAAAGGGTGTAAAAATTCTTATAATTTTGTTTGCTTCCCAGCTTGTCAACACCAGTGTTTTGTTTTTGGTCAGTAATAATTCAGACTTGTTTTGTTTTTGGTCAGTAATAATTCAGACTTGTGTGATTGATTTCGATTCCCAAATATCTATTCGGTCTATTAGTCTTTCAGTTTAAACTGAACTATATGACAATTAATGCATGTTAGATGTGTTTATATGAAAAAATTAGTGGAGTGGAGAAAGTGAAGTTCTCTCTCACTAGTAAAAGAATATAGAAAAGGCATTATTACAATAGCACCTGGAACATCCAAAAACTTTTAAGTCGTGATCAATTATCTCAGAGCTCATTATTACATACATTTTACATACTGTAGCATAGATATAACTCACGCCCCCACCAGCCCCCAAAAATTTCAATTCCAAATACCAAATTTTGAAGACAACCTAGGATAAAATAAGGTTAAAAAGGGAGATTCTTCTATTAAGAATTCAATCACTAAAATCAAAGCTTCCACTCTGCGAGCTGCTGCCGTTGCGACTATGTAAAGAGAGGCCTCTGATGTGGCCAGCCAAAGTGCTACTGTCCTTATTATGCTGAAAATATCTTTCTCTCTCTGTGTGCTTTGAAGGTGGCGGTGGTATCGTAACAGGAGGAAGCTTTGCACTTGGAGGTGGAACTACAACAGGTACAGGAGAAGCACGAGCTTCCGCAAGAGAAGGTTCTAGTGGTCGTATTAGTGGCCGGTTGAGTCTCTCTTCAAGCAAACTCAATCGAGGGAACTGAGGTTCAATTTCTTCATCTTCGGGCTTTACACAAGCTTTTCCCTTGCGTAATCTGCCAGCATCAGGCATTGTTTGTCATTTGGAGATGAATGAATACTCAATATTGATTTTAATCTTTCTTTAAAAGGAAATAAATTTAGCATGTTCAATAACTAGCAAGTCACCTTCTGAATAACTGTTCGGGTTCTTCTTGCTCCTCTGATTCATCACAATCGAAGTGATTCACGGTTGTTGTAACCTTGCTAGAAAGAAGGTCATCATGTTTATCTAGAACATTTTGAAGCTGCTCATTCACTTGGATTGCTCGGGAAACTATCCTCTCATCTCTACAAACAATCCAAGAAAAAGAAGTTGAAGCACAAACTGACCATAGAATGACTGCACTAACAATAGTGTATCAATTTTTCCATTATATTACTTATTACTATTTATTAACTGAAAATGGAGATAACAAATTCATTTAAGATTCAGCCTATTGCTTACATCTTAGAAAATAGCAAGTCACATTGAAAAAACAAAGGTTTCTTCGAGACAATAGCAAACTGCAAAACTCTATTGCATGAATTATTAATGAACAAAGGAATGACATTAAAATCTTATGGCAACCGACCAGTAGCAAAGACTAAAATCCATTCACTGAAAGATTTCAAGTCTGGAAATGAAAGAGAATGTATTTTCTTTTGGCAGTAAAGAGAAATTTTAAGAAGCCTTACTGAGAAGTCATCACAAGATGCATTACTCTCTGCTTTTGAAATGAACATTGCTCAACAAGGTCAAGGGTGAGTTCATCTCTTGCTCCCTGGAAAATAAATCAGTTTCAGCAAAAATTGGAATGGGATTATTTACATGTTTCATAAGAAAATCACAGGGCTTTTGGTACACAAGACAAAATAAAAATTATTAAGAGAGCATCATAGTCATTTGTCAAATACCTTCCAGTTGACAGCATATGCCTCATTATTTTTATTCTGCTGTACAATCTTGAAGAAGTTCGTGATATTTTGATATTAATTACTTTTACTAAAAAAGTTACTACGGGTTTCTATTACTATCTTTAGCCTCTTAAGTCTTAACCTCATTTCTTGTTGTCAATTCAAACCCAGAAGCAAAACAAATTTGAGGCCTCAGACTTTGTTTGCATGGAGAAGCATCACAAGACATATCAATGCTGTATCAAGTATGAATCAAGATAAAATGCAAATCATATTCTTGGAGTGTGAAATTCTAGTTTCATTATGACAGATCCTTGGCTCACCTGAGGATGTTTGGCATCAATAGCATCAAGGACTTCTTTTAGAACTTCCAATGCATTACTAGCCTTTTGGATAGTGCTGCATAACACAATTGCAGAATAAGAGAGGTTCACAGATAATGAAAATGACAACAAAACAAATATCTTTAAATGATATTTTTCCTCCAGATCAGTTAAGAGGTCCCACAGATCAAGAATCATCCATGCGTCTGTATTTAAAACACACACTCACACGAGAACAGAGAAAAAGTATCAAACCGAAGACAGATTTTCAAACTAATCTCCATTTATTTCTATTAAGATGTGGTTGGGCCTAATTCAACCCTACAAAACCGGCTTGTAGGGTGAGGATTACCCCCACTTATAAACACATGTTCAGGCCATATATTGTCCGATGTGGGACTCTTAACACACCCCCTCACGCCCAGGACTAGACAACTGGAGCGTGGAAATAAATAGTGGATGGCCCACTGGATCTTAAACGAGGCTCTGATACCATATTAAGATGTGGTTGAGCCTAATTCAACCCTACAAAACCGGCTTGTAGGGTGAGGATTGCCCCCACTTATAAACACATGTTCAGGCCATATATTGTCCGATGTGGGACTCTTAACAATTTCATTAGATAAAAACTATGGTATTTAGATAAATCTCAGTATCCAGTTTACATCCCCAAAATAAATAAATATAATTCTAATCATAATATACCCTTTTCAATGCATTCAGTTAAAGGATGGACACTTAAGATAATTTTTATAAAACAAAATGTAACAATGGAGTTACTGAGTGAGCAAAAGTGTTATTTCCACTCAAAGATTTTTGAAAGACCCAGTCTACATCAAGTTTTATCAAAACTGAAAGGCAATAATCACCTAGATTCAGGAACAGTGTTAGGTTTTGCTTTTTGAGGAACCCCTCCATGTCTAAGTGGGACCTCCTCCTTTTTGGGTACATTATTAGACCTATTTGGTTCTGAACTAGGACGATTTGATCGAACATGTTGAGCTCTTTGAGGAAATTGCACCCCGGCACTCTATAAAAAGTAAAACACAATTCAGTGTTAGCATTGAGCAGATAAATAACAAATTAGTCTTGATTAATTAGAAAAATTCCATAGTTCTATATCTTATACAAATGGAAGTAGAAACGTCATGGCCGTCTATAATTAGGTATAAAATGTGTTCGAGAAATATGTTCATAAGCAAATTGAAAGATTCTCAATGTCTAATTCCCATAATATTTGCAGACCACCAATGAACTTTAATACAAAAATACAACCACTTTTCTGCCAACATAACATTCCAAGGATCATTTATTACCACTTTACTCTTAGTACAATCTTCCCAAAATATCATCACAAATACCATTACCCAAATTCAGCATATCTGCTTAGCACTTAGCAACGGCTATATCCTATTAGGATGTGAAGGCAAAAACAACTTATGTTATATCAGCTTCTTCTATTTATGAGCCCTCTAGTAAAAAAGAACCTTATGTATCATCATGCAGAACCTTATATATCAAACAACGTTGAGTTGTACTACACATATATGCACCTACCACCAAATCATAATATGCTTTATAATACTGCGGAAACTTTCCAGAAGCACCACCAAGGGATGTTTGTGTTGCATCTAGTAGGAGAAATATTCGCTCCCTGACAGGCAAATCTGACTGCAAGCAAAGAAAAAAAAACCAAAGAGAATAAGGAAAAATCAATATTGAGAACAGACAATGTCACAACAGTTTCTAGAAAAAAATCACCTTTTTCTTTACAATTTTCACAAGAATTGGAATAATTTCTGCATCAACCACCTGCTCATGAATGTGATTTCCTATGTTGTTCATCAACATTTCCAGCAACTAGAAATTCAACAGATATAATATTAGTTAGTTGAATACCAGTGCAGAAACACAAACAAGTTAAAAATTCTAGAAAATAAAGGCATGTATCCAATCTTCCCAGTTTCGGGTACGATGAAAAATATGTGTAGCAAACTATCTTCTTATAAGTTGTGGGTCCAGGTAAAATGGTTAAGAAAAATCATGGAATTTTTTAAATAAACTATTTCATAATATGGTCATTATTATACTCACCATGACAGCATAAAGTTGAGTTTTGGGGTTCTTGTTACCCAATCTCTTTTTTATAGCTTTAACAACATCTTTAGTTTTCCTGAACATTCATAAAACAAAATGACGGTATTAACAGCAACACCACTCCAAGCCTTGGAATATTATAGCATATTATTGAGTTTGTAGTCAAGTGAAAGACCAGCTAGGCTCAAGCATCAATCTAGACAGAATGTTCAACAACTACCATGAATAACAGATTTTGAGTCGCAAATTAAGTTAGAACCAAGTATCAGTGGTCTGATAACTAACCAAACACTTCTAATTTAAATTTTCCTTTTGAAAAACAAACCAGAGACAAACACACATAACGCAGTTTAAATGAAAAAGAAATACACAATTTGGCATGACAAATATGGTAAATACAGTTAATCAGATTAAGAAGAGAAAAAACTGTCATTCATGAAGATTATCTTTAAATATTAAAGAACCCACTTAGCCGATTATGCATAGTTCAAGTGGTAAGGGCATAAGTAATGGCGTTATGAGAAGAACATAGGTATGACTCCCAAATCCAAAAAATAAGATAATACAACATAAA